CCCCCCCTCCGCCCCCCGTATCGCCACAGTGTTCTGCTGCGTCGGCGCCTTGGCTCTCACCAACTCGATTGATAAGCACATCGACCGCGACCACCTGGGCTGGTGGCTGGCCGAGCGCCAGCTCCCGAACGGCGGTCTGAATGGCCGTCCGGAGAAGCTGGCAGATGCACGTCCCCCTTTGATGCTCCCCCTCCCTGCCTGTCCCTCCGCGCGTTTGGCGGCTCCCTTCCCCCATGCTGACACACGCGCACATGTATGCACCTTCGTTCTTCGCATGCGCCGCCCCTGGCTTCCGCAGGTTTGCTATTCCTGGTGGTGCCTCAGCGCGCTGACCATCCTGGACCGGCTTCATTGGATCTCGGCCGAGCCGCTGTCCAACTTCATCCTCAACGCCCAGGCCCTCGAGGACGACCAGTACTCGCGCGAGTCGGCCAACAAGCTGTCCGGCCAGGCGCTGGACGATGCGCAAGACCACGGCGGCATTGCCGATCGTCCGGGTGACCGGCCCGACGTCTTCCACACGCTTTTCGGGGTAGCCGGTGCGCGCACCTCTCGAGTCGCGGGCTGATGGGGGTTTCTTTCTTTGTTTCTTTCTCTTTTTTTTTTCGCTCCCCCAGCCCCGGACATTGGAACAGCTCATCACGCATTCCCGCTTGCCGGGTGACTTCCCCCTGACACTCTCCTTTTTCATGCGCACACGCGTGGGCACACACCTTTCAGGTCTTTCCCTGCTGAAGTATCCCGGCCTGGAGCCCGTGGACCCCCTCTTCTGCATGCCGCTCAAGGTGACCCAGCGCCTTGGCCTGGCCAAGGAGAAATACTGACGGGCATCCGGATGTATCCGGCACAGGCCCAGGCGGTGCTGCTCGCTGACAGGACCGGCGCCTGAAGTGGCCCCCTGTGTGCCGGGCTCCCCGGCTACTGACGTCCCCCACTTGGCTGGCGTATGCACACATCAATACACATACATACACAGCGGCACGGCTGCACGCGAGGGACAGCCGATTCGAGACAGGGGGAGGATCGTTGGGTATATTGGATTGCTCTCGCGCGTGACGCAGGCCCGCACATGCCGAGTCTGAGAGGAGGAAAGGATGATACGAACGGCAGGGGGACGCGGCAATCTCGCTGGGAGACGGTGGGAAATAGCAGAGAAGAGGAAGACCGGGGAGCGGGGGGGGGGGGGGGCCTGTCCGCCGGAAGAGCGGAGGAGGCGCCTACGCGGCGGGAAGGGGGCCATGCTTCATGCGGAAAGGGACATACACAGACACACGCGCACGCACGAACAAGGACTGAGCCGGCGTGAGCGCGGAGGTGCCCTGCCGGGGAGAGCAGGGGGCCGGAGACCCGATCAGCGATTGGAGAGCCGAGAGAGAGGGAGAGAGGAGCGGGTCCACCCAGGAAAGAGCAGACACGAGGAGACATGGACAGGGCACAAGGCAGGGAGAGGGGAGGGGCCGGTGCAACGGGCCCCTCTCAGGGGAAGAGGGGGAAGAGCTCAAAGAAGTGTGCCGGGAGGTGGCCCCCGACGCTGTGATGCAGCAGCCAACTCAGCTGCCGCAGCCCGATGGTTCCCTCCTCGATGTGGGTCCGAGGGAAACGGAAGGCCCCGGCACGGTCCAGCACGTACGCCTGGTACGCCTGGTCCGGGTGGTGAGGGTGGTGGTGATGATGATCGGCCGCCTCCGCCTGACCCATGCCGAGCAGATTGCCGAAGCTGCCGAAACTCCCGAAGGCCGAGAGGCTGGCATTGCGCGCCGGAGGGAAGGCCGCCGACGGCCCTGCGGACAGCATCGGCGTCTGCGGGGCCGGGCCCTGTCGCATGGACTCGTGCCGGTTGAGGATGCGGCTTCGGGCCAAATTCAAGCCCACATGCTGACTGGACGAGGCCACCAGGCCGGCCTGCTGGGAAATGATGGACAATGTTGAAAGGGCGCGCTTTGAGCCGGCAGGGAGCAAGGAGAAGAAGAGACCAGGAACGGGCGGCAGGGACGGAGGCGGAGGAGAAAGGCCGGCAGGGGCAAAAGCAGGCGGAGAGGGCAGGAGCGTGCGAGGGAGGCGTCAGGTATCGGCACAAGGCAAAAGCGACAGCAGGGTGCCCGGCCGGCCGGACCCGGCGCCTGGCAACACACCTGGAGCATGTCCCCGGCCGAGGACTCGATCCAATGCAGGGGGAAGGAGAAGCGCTCCAAGACATGGGCCACATCGGACGGGATGACCGGCGGGCGCTTGAAGGTCACATCCGAGGCCGAGTAGGTCAGGCTACGCCGGCTGAGAGCGGTCAGCAGGGCAACACGCTCCTTCGAGCCCATGGCCTCGAAGGATTGCACGCTCTCGAGCTCGGTCAAGATGGAGGATGTGAAGGCGTAGGCCTCGACAACCGGGGCGATGGACGCAGCCAGGAGCTGGGCATGGCGGAGGTTCTTGGACTGCCGGGGCAGGGGCAACCGGCGCACACAGGAACATTAGTTGGTGGAGCAGCAGGAGCAACAGTAGCGACAGGGCTTGGGGGGGGGGGGGGG